ACACACACACACACACACACACACACACACACACACACACACACACATATTTGCTTTATATACATATGTATGCTTTCAAATAGTAAGTATTACTTATGAGATTTATTAGTACACCTTGTGTAGTGAGTTAATATCCTGATATCAAAAGATGAATCTTGGGCAGTTGACGTTGAGGTGTTCTTCACATCTGCTACATATTTTCAAAGTACATGGTCCTTTTATGTGATGAATGTAAAACAAGACTGAAACAAAGTGAATTGTCTTTTTCAGAGTTTCTAATTATGATATCTTCTGGTATACTCACAACCTCTTCTTTGTTTTCTACATGCTGCTGCTGTTACATGTTTCAGGGTAAGTAAAACCATTTGTACCTTCAATCTCTGTTCTCACCTCACATAGAACAGAGGGGAAACATTTGTGGGAAGGGAGATTCTCTTCATGCATTTTTTTTTAGCAGCCCAGGACTCCACAAGGGATGCCTTCAGTTCAGTCAGTACTTACCTACAAGGAACTGGCATCTGGATCTCAGGAAAACATTTTAGTTTAATTACTGTCTTCTAGACTAGATACTTTGCACCAGTCATAAATAGAATTAGGTAGGTTTATAATTGGAATGCTCCCGTTATCTCTTCTCAAGTTTTCAAGTGAACAGGACAGGAGCCTACCACTGAGGGCCTCTGAAAGACTCTATCTAGCAGGGTATCGAAGCAGATGCTGAGACTCATAACCAAACTTTGGGCTGAGAGCAGGGAATCGTATGAAAGAAGGGGGAGATAGAAAAACCTGAATGGAACAGAAGCTGCACAAGATGACCAACAGAACAAAAAATTCGGACCCAGGGTTATTTTTAAAAGACCAACACTCCAACTGAGGACCATGCATAGAGTTAACCTAGACCACCTGCTCTTTGATCACCTCCCCCCTAGAGGGTGCAGCCTTACCAGGCCACAGAGGAAGATGATGCAGCCAGTCCTGATGAGACCTGCTAGGCTAGGGCCAGATGGGAGGGGAGGAAGACCTCCACTATCAGAGGACTCCAGGAGGGCCATGAGAGGGGAAGAGAGAGGGAAGAAGGGCAGGATTGGGAGGGGATGAGAGAGGGGGCTACAGCTGAGATACAAAGTGAATAAATTGTAATATAAAAAAAAAAAATAGAAACTGTTTTCCAGGGTTTAGAGAAACAGATCCACTGTTCTTTCTTCAGATCGTTTTGTATGGTAATTGTCAAGGTATTAGGCAGTTTATGTAACTTATTTATTTCAGGGTGCATGTTCAAAATATTTATCCCTTCTTTTCCTCAGTTTTGGAGGTCATTAGTAATGACAGGGATATAACCCAGTTTTATTCCAGTTTGGCTGGTTCTTTGGTATTCCAGTTAGAATATAAAGAAGTAAGGCATCAGAAACATGAGCACTCATAATAATCATGCGCCCCAAGTGGCAGGATACAAAATCAACTCAAAAAAATCAGAAGCCCTCCTGTATACCAAAGACAAAATGGCCGAGAAAGAAATTAGGGAAACAACACCCTTCACAATAGCCACTAACCACATAAAGTACCTTGGGGTGACACTAACCAAGCAAGTGAAAGACCTGTTTGAGAAAAACTTCAAGTCTCTGAAGAAAGAAACTGAAGAAGATCTCAGAAGATGGAAAGATCTCCCGTGCTCATGGATTGGTAGGATTAACATTGTGAAAATGGCCATCCTGCCAAAAGCAATCTATAGATTCAATGCAATTCCCATCAAAATACCAACTCAATTCTTTACAGACCCTGAAAAAAAGATTCTCAGCTTCATATGGAGAAACAAAAAACCCAGAATCTCCAAAACAGTCCTGTACAACAACAGATCATCTGGAGGTATCTCCATCCCCAATCTCAAGTTGTACTACAGAGCAATAGTAATAAAAACTGCATGGTATTGGCATAAAAACAGAAAGGAGGATCAATGGAACTGCATAGAAGACCCAGAAATAAACCCACACACCTATGAATACTCGATTTTTGACAAAGAAGCCAAAACCATTCAATGGAAAAAAGACAGCATCTTCAACAAATGGTGCTGGTCCAACTGGATGTCCACATGCAGAAAAATGAAAATAGATCTATATTTATCACCCTGCACAAAACTAAGTCCAAGTGGATCAAAGACCTCAACATAAAACCAGATACTCTAAATCTGTTAGAAGAAAAAGTGGGGAACAGCCTAGAACTAATTAGCACAGGAGACAACTTCCTGAACAGAACACCAACAGCACAGGCTCTAAGAGCAACAATCAATAAATGGGGCCTCATGAAACTGAAAAGCTTCTGTAAAGCAAAGGACACTGTCATCAAAACAAAACGCCTGCCTACAGATTGGGAAAGAATCTTCACTAACCCTTTATCTGACAGAGGACTAATATCGAGTATATACAAAAAGAACTAAAGAAGCAGAAAAGCAGCAAACCAAGTAATACAATTAAAAAATGGAGAACAGAGCTAAACAGAGAATTCTCGACAGAGGAATATCGAATGGCAGAGAAACACTTAAAGAAATGCTCATCCAGAGTGGTTGAACCAGTTTACATTCCCACCAGCAATGGAGGAGGGTTCCTTTTTCTCCACAACCTCTCCAGCATGTGCTATCACTTGAGTTTTTCATCTTGGCCATTCTGATGGGCGCTTTCTCAGACAACTAGGAGTAGTGCTACCTCAAGACCCAGCTATACCACTCCTAGGTATATACCCAAAATTTGCTCAAGTACACAACAAGGACATTTGTTCAACCATGTTCATAGCAGCTTTATTTGTAATAGCCAGAACTTGGAAACAACCCAGATGTCCATCAACGGAGGAATGGGTACAGAAATTGTGGTATTTTTACACAATGGAATACTACTCAGCAATCAAAAAGGAGGAATCATGAAATTTGCAGGCAAGTGGTGGGATCTAGAAAAGATCATTCTGAGTGAAGTATCCCAGAAGGAGAAAGACAAACTTGGTATATACTCGCTTATATAGACCTACAAGACATGATAAACATAATGAAATCTACACACCTAAAGAAGATAATCAAGAAAGTGGACACAGGCGAAGGTGATTAATCCTCATTTAGAAAGACAAATGGGATGTGCATTGAACTTATGACAGGAGTCTACCACAAAAGGCATCTGAAAGACTCTACCTAGCAGTGTTTCAAAGCAGACACTAAGACTCATAACCAAACCCTCGGCAGAGTGCAGGGAATCATATGAAAGAAGGGAAGTTAGTATGATATGGAAAGGATAGGAGCTCCACAAGGACCAAATATATCTGGGCACAGGGTCTTTTCTGAGACTGACACTCAACCAAGGACCATCTATGGATATAACCTAGAACTTCTGCTCGGATGTGGCCTGTGGTAGCTCAGTAACCAAGTAGTTTTCCAAAGTAAGGGGAACACGGACTATTTCTAACAGGATCTCAAGGGCAGGCTGTTTGACCCCCCCCCCCCAGGGGAGGAGCAGTCTGTTAGGCCACAGAGGAGGACTTTGCAGCCAGCCCTGAAGATACCTGATAAAACAGGGTCAGATGAAAGGGGAGGAGGTCCTCCCCTATCAGGGGATTTGGAAAGGGGCAGGGAGGAGACCAGGGAGGGAGTGTGGGGTTGGGGAGGGAATGAGGGAGCGGGATACAGCTGGGACACAGAGTTAACAAAATGTAACTAAAAAGAAAAATAAAATTAAAAAAAAAAAAGAAATGCTCATCCTCATTAGCCATCAGGGAAATGCAAATCAAAATGACCCTGAGATATCACCTTACACCCATCAGAATGGCCAAGATGAAAAACTCAAGGGACAACACATGCTGGAGAGGTTGTGGAGAAAGGGGAACCCTCCTCCACTGCTGGTGGGAATGTAAACTGGTTCAACCACTCTGGAAATCTATCTGGCGCTTTCTAAGACAATTAGGAATAGTGCTTCCTCAAGACCCAGCTATACCACTGCTAGGTATATACCCAAAGTTTGCTCAAGTACACAAAAGAGATATTTGCTCAACCATGTTTATAGCAGCTTTATTTGTAATAGCCAGAACCTGGAAACAACCCAGATGTCCATCAACGGAGGAATGGGTACAGAAATTGTGGTATTTTTACACAATGGAATACTACTCAGCAATCAAAAAGGAGGAAATCATGAAATTTGCAGGCAAATGGTGGGACATAGAAAAGATCATCCTGAGTGAAATATCCCAGAAGGAGAAAGACAAACAGGTATATACTCACTTATATAGACCTATAAGATATGATAAACATAATGAAATCTATACACCTAAAAAAGATAATCAAGAGAGCAGACATGGGGTAAGATTATCAATCCCCGTTTTGAAAGACAGATGGGATGCACATTAAACATTGACAGGAGTCTACTGAGCGCATTTGAAAAACTCTAACTAGCAGTGTTTTCAAAGCAAAGACTCAAGACCAAACCTTTGGCAGAGTACAGGGAATCATAAGAAAGAAGGGGAGTTAGTCTGATGAGGAAAGGATAGGAGCTCCACAAGGACCAAACCTATCTGTGCACAGGGTCTTTTCTGAGACTGACATGCAACCAAGGACCATGTATGAATGTAACCTAGATCCTCTGCTCAGATGTAGCCTGTGGTAGCTCAGTAACCAATTGGTTTCCCATAGTGAGGGGAACAAGGACTATTTCTAACAGGAACTCAATGACTGGCTCTTTGGCCTCCCCACCCCCCAAGGGAGGAGCAGTCCTGTTAGGCCACAGAGGAGAGCTTTGCAGCCAGTCCTGAAGATACCTGATAAAATAGGATCAGATGAATGGGGAGGAGGTCCCCCCTATTAGTGGACTTGGCAAGGGGCACGGTGGAGAGGAGGGAGGGAGGGAGGGACTGGGAGGGAATGAGGGATCGGGACACAGCTGGGATACAGAGTTAATAAAATGTAACTGATAAGAAAAAAATAAAATTCAAAAAAAAAAAAAATCATGTGCCCCAGCTGATCATTCCTTCTCAGAAGGAAGAGGGCTTTGACAAATGGAACTGAGAATCATTTATTTCCTGTGGTCAAGGTGTATTCTGTGGAGCCTTCACCAACAGCAGAAGCGCTATGTATATGTTGAATTTGCTTTTCATTTTCTTCTCGAAGACAACTGTGTTAATACAGCCAACACACCGGGTGCTCTCTTCTGTAAATGGTCAGTGTGCTAGTTTAGTACTGTGGTCATGGAGTAGACACCAAATCAGCAGATTCCCTTCCAGGTCCCAGTAATTTAAAATACGAACTCAGTGATTAGTGACTATATAGGCCACATGTAAATTTAAATAATTTCAAATATTTTCTGACATGAAATGCTCAGAAATTTATGAAGATAACATTTTGAAAGCTATAAGTGGGAACCTAAGGTTATGAAAGAGTCAATAACTTGCCAAAATTTACTAATTTCTATAAACTTGACTTAGATAAAGGCATTTTTAAATTTCTTTTTACACACACACATCTTTTGAGAGGTTTTTTAGAGTTTGACTTAGTATTGTAATTTTATTTAAAGTTTATCTGGCCTTACTCAGGACTGTGGTTTATTTGTCATAATATCCTCATTGTTTAGTTTCTTTTTTCCCATCTTTCTCCTTGTTTCCTTTCTCTTAGAACAAAGAAAATGTGATCACATTCTGACATGACAAATTCTTCATTTATGCTTTATTAAATCACAATTCTGAAAAGAAAAATTTTCTTTCCAGTTAAAAACCAGCAGTCTTTTTTTTTTTTTTTTTTTTTTTTTTATGGTTCAGGAGTTCAAAAAGTTGTTACTTTAAAGGAGGATATTATATTAAGACTTTTCTCTACTTTTTGTAAGAAAAATACCTGTTCAAAATTAGCTCTTTTGGGTTGGAAACATGGCTCAACAGTTACAAGTACTGTCTTCCCTTTCAGAGGTCCTGAGTTCAATTCCTGGCAACCACATGGTAGCTCCCAATCATCTATGATGTGATCTGATGCCCTCTTGTGGCATTTAGGTGTACATGCAGATAGAGCATGCATACATAATTGAATAAATCTTTGAAAAAAATAAAATAAAATTAGTTCTTTTTGTAGAACAAATATTATAGGCAGGTGGTACTTTTAATTTATATATAAATTTATTTATATATAAATAATATTATTTACATATTTTTTATATTACATATGTTCATATATAGTACATATAACCAACAGAATGGTTACAAAAGAATTAAATATGATCAATGTATTTTATAACTGAATTAGTAATAAAGTGAAAGCAATTATTATAATACTAAAGTGTCATTGGATAAATTCACAATACAATAAGAATTATATATTGCTTTTTTTTATTGAACTCTGATTTGTACTAATATATCAGAATTGTTCAGATAGAAAAAAAATGACTGTTGGTAAATTTTGCAACTTTTCAAGTTTTTTTTTTTTAATTAACAAGTGTACATAGGTAAGTAAGTAATCTTAAACTATTTTTGTGCCATTACTGGGAACTCAAACAAATCTTTATTCTTGAAACTCCTGTATAATATCATCTTCCAGTCTTTTGCTAATAGGAGGGAGATGGAATTGCTTGAAGCAAGAGTCATGAATGCATGCTGAAATTTGTACTTACCAGTATACTGCAGGCTTGATGAGGCACCCATGCCTCTGACCATCCATGTGTTGAATATTTAAGGTAAAAGAGGAGCAACCTACTGTAGGATCACAGTCTCCCAGGAAATAATTTATTTAAGATAAAAAAAAAAATCAATAGAGAGCCACAGGCTGTGCTTTCAAAATACAAACATCATTTATTTACAGGAATTCTAGCAATTCGGGGAATAGATGAATCCATATTGACTAGAAACTTTAGAAAAGATTTGGCTTCAAAGTTGAGGTGATTAGATATTTTTGGCTGCTTTTCCTGCTTACATATATTTTACAGGAAAGGGCTTATTTCTTTATGTGATTTTGTAAGGTTTTGTTTAGCAGTAGAATTTTCAATTATATTTTGATCTAATTCTCTTTTTCTAATGTCAAATAACTTTCCTATTTAAAAATTCACTTCATATGTAAATTGCTGATAGTAGATAGTAATTGTTTGCATTTATGAATGATGATATGAGTTTTGATACACTCTTGATTGATCAAATTAGTTTTCCAGTGCCCATATATGTTCAGTTCAAATGTACTTCTGGCCTCGGCAAACCTGTACCTCTTATGGGTAAATACCTAATTCAGAAAATGCCTGTTTTGATGTGACAGAGCCATAATTTCCACACAGCTTCTTTTTTCTTTAAATTTATTTTAAAAAATTATTCAATTTACATGCTGATTGTAGCCCCCTCCCTCGTTTTTATCTCTGTCCCCTCCTCCTCCCTGAGTTCTCAGAGAGGGGGATTCCTCCTCCCCTAGCAACTGACCTCAGCCTGTCAAGTCTCATCAGGACTGGCTGCATCCTTTTTCCTCTGTGTTCTGGCAAGGCTGCCTGGCCAGGGGGAACTCCAAACTCCACACAGCTTCTTCTCTTTAGATCCCAAATTCATTTCATTACAAGTTTAACCCAGGGAATTAAAAGTCTGCAATTCCATTGGCCATTGAAATTGAGATTCTCTCTTTTTCCCTATATTTTTCTCATTTATTTATTTTTTTAATGTGGTGATCCTTCAAAACACATCATCATTCTTAACTTTTCTCATTGGACATGTTATCAGTAAATATTGGCTGAATGTTTATCTTTTACCTGGTGTATGTTTATGTGCATGAGTGAGTGTGTGTGTGTGTGTGTGTGTGTGTTGTGTGTGTGTGTGTGTGTGTGTGTGTTTGTGTGTGTGTGTGTTGTGTCTGTGTGTGTATGTGTGTGTGGTCTGGTCTGGGGATTAACCTCAGGGCTTCACACATTTGCCACACTAGCTGGGTACTCTACCAGAGTTATACCAGGAGCCCACTCATGTTTATATTGAGTTTTCCCAACAAACCTACAGTTGCTTCCTTTTTCTTTCACTGCTTGTCAGAGAAAACATTGGCACACCCCATGGCCAGTGAGTTGGCTTTGTGTGGAAAGGCCCTTGTTGCCAGGTCTAATGACCTCAGTTTGATCTCCAGTTTGATCTTCCACATTGTGGAAAAAAAGTACTGACTCCTGCCAATTGTCCTCTAAACTCCTCATGGCACATGCATGTGCATGCATATCTGCATGTGTACATGGATACACACATACACACAAATAAAATATAAAAAGAATTAAAATGTAGCAAAATAAGAAACAAAGAGATGCTATTGTAAAAAGTTTACAGAAAGCATTGAAAAGCAAATGGCTTTAGGACTTGATGGATATGCAAAAGTTGTTTTCACAGAAGCAAAAAGCTTTTGTTTTCTGTTATTTTCATTCACTATTTCTCCATGAGCCATGAAGTATGTTTTATCTAGTCTTATCCAGGTAAGATATAATCCCTGTGTTTTTCCTTTAAGCTTGAAGATGTGTAGCAAGAAGGTTATATTTACAGTGTTTATTGAAGTGAAAATTTGTAAGTTGATGCATGAATGCCTCACAGTTTTCAAAAAAATATCAAGAAACTTGAGCATGTTTTTTCTCTACCTCACAGAGATAGCATTTATTTGGAGAGCTAAACATTTTCTTCCTCCCTCTTAGTAATAAATTTATTTAAAATTTAGGATATTTTATTTCTTCTGAAATAGATCACACATGGAATACTTTGTATGAAATGCTATATAATGCCAACAAGAAAGGAAATGACTCTTCTTTACCCTTTCCACCCCCTGACTCAGTCTCTTTTCCATTTCCTTGTTTTTGTCCAATTTAACTTTAGTGGGATGTTGAAGTATCAAACCAATTTAGACACTCACCCTCCTGGCTGCATCAGTCTTAACCAGACCCCATCTCAGGGTGTTTCCTTCCAAGACTATGTCTCAGAACATGTTCATGGATCTTCTGAAAGATTTTCAAAACTACAAGATCATAACCAGAAAACACTTGTGAAGATTTGCCTGGAAGAGCCCAAGTTCCAAGCTCATTTTCCACAGGTCAGATTAATTCAGTGTTTAGATCTGCCAAGTCTGTGGTTTCACATAAGTGTTTGACTTTGCATTTGAACAGGTCTTTGAACATGATTTCAGGTACTAGAGGATATTTCAGGATGTTCAGACAGCAAATTTTTATTTTTATTTTGTTGCAAACTTCATACATTTAGAATTTAAAAAAAATGTCTAAGTATATAGTTTTACTGCAATACCCTTTTCTAGTGTTTGCTTCCAGAGAGACAACAAATATATATCCTAATACTATTAAGACATGCAAATGATGTTGTTAGGTCACAGAGAAAGAGGATCCAGGCAGTCCTGATGAAACTTGATAGACTAGGGTCAGGTGGCAGGGGAGGAGAGCTTCCTCTTTCAGTGGATTAGGAGAAGAGGGAGAGAGGGTGGGACTGGGAAGAGTTGAGGGAAGGGGCTACAATTGGGATTAATTATAAAAAAAAATTATAAAGACTTGCAGATGAAATAACAAAAGAACTGTAATCAAGTTTTAAAAAAAGTCCTAGCAATTGTTAGAATACAATATTATAACATAGTAATTATAAATAATAAATTGTGAAGTTAATTGTTGAATTCTTACTGTGATCTTCTTGGCACTGTGCTGACTTGCTCTGTATGCATGATTTCTTTCAATATCCACACTTGACCTTTGAAGCAACTACTTAATTATCTGCTGAAGACATTGAGCTGAAACATGCATTCTAACCAAAGTATATAAACAAGTGGTAGAAGAGGAAGTGTGTAGATGCAGGTCTTTACCTAAATACTGCCTTTGGAAAGTTCTCCAACCACTGCACAGATAATTCAGCTCCTTCCACCTTCACCCATGTCTGCCATTGTCTGAGGGAACTGCCAGTGTCCAAGAGAGGCCCACTATTCTGCATAAGAAATGGAAGAGGGAGAAAATAGGGAATAAGACAGGGGCTTACCACAGAGAGCCTCTGAAAGACTCTACTCAGCAAGGTATCAAAGCAGATGCCTAGACTCATAGCCAAACTTTGGGCAGAGTGCAGGGAATCTTATGGAAGAAGGGGGCGATAGAAAGACCTGGAGGGGACAGGAGCTCCACAAGGAGAGCAACAGAACAAAAAATCTGGACACAGGTCTTTTCTGAGACTGATACTCCAACCAAGGACCATTCGTGGAGATAACCTAGATCCCCTGCCCAGATGTAGCACATAGTAACTCAATACCCAAGTGGGTACCCTAGTAAGGAGAACAGGGACTGTCTCTGACTTGAACTCAGTGCCTGGCTCTTTGATCACCTCCCCCTGAGGTGGAGGCAGTCTTACCAGGCCACAGAGGAAGACAATGCAGCCACTCCTGATGATACCTGATAGGCTAGGGTCAGAGTAAAGGGGAGGTCCTCCAGGACCTCCCCTATAAGTGGACTTGGAGATCAGCACAGGAGGAGATGATGGAGGGAAGGTGAGTGGGGTTGTGAGGGAATGAGAGAGGGGGCTACATTTGAGTGAAGAAACTGTAATTAATATAAAAAAAGAAAAGAAAGATATGGAAGAAGGGCTAGACTTGGGAAATTCTCCTTTAAAGAGAGACAGTAGATAAGTATCAAAGTTAGAATGAATTTGTAGCTGACTTTGGAGTCAGGTGGTTAGTTTCCTGACTGTCATATAATGATAAATATTATGTATGGTAACTATGGCAAATTCCGTTTTACTGATGTGGGACTTGATTGTCTCGGGGTCACTGGCCCAAAGTTGCAATGCCACTTCTATTAGAATTTATCCAGCTCTGCCTACTCTACAGAGTGCCATGTTCACTGTGACAGTCTTCGGAGCATGAGCGAATTGCCTTCACTGCATGAGCAATGTCTGGAAGGTCACACGGGTTAGCAGACACCTCTAAGCTTATAGTCAAGAGGCTGAGGCGGGAGGATAGCAAGTCCAAAAGCAACTTGTATTAACAAAGTGAAGCTCTGTCTCAGATAAACAACAGAACAAACATCTCTATAAACACAGTGCAATTCAGTGAAAAGTATTACAGAAAAGGAGAGGCTGGAGTGTGCACTTATAGGGGAAAGAGTGTCCCGATAGATATTTGCATGTCCCCATTCAAAACTACCAATTTTTATATAGGTGTAATCTTGACCACATTCTATTATATAAAAGTTGTAATAGAACCATGCCAGTGTGTCCTATTTTCAAAACTAGAACTACACTTACATTTAACACTTTGTGTGTATAATCTTGATATGTGTCTATATATCTGTGTTATGATCATTAAATATTTAGGACATCATACTTACAGTAAACATTGGACTGATTTCATTCTTCTAAATCGTCCTAAGAGAAATATGATGTGACAACTTGTTTTTGTCAAACAGCAAGTTCTTGTTTGTCCTCACCATAAACAGATACTTGTGTGAAGAAATGCTTACATACTAATGGTAACCACTAGGATGCATGCTTGAGGTTAGGGCTCCTTATTACTTTTCCTCTCATAATTTAATTTTGTTTGAGTGGGTTGCTGAGAACATCAGGTGTGCTTTACTCATTCTTACCAATATCTTACTGTTGAAAATATAAATCGACTCGCCTTTACTCAGTGTTTGTGCCTTTGTGCATTTCTTGAAGCGTGCTTTCTAAATCTTTTCCTTAGACTTGGATTTGGATTTCTGGACCTTTGTGCCTATACTGTGCTGAGAGGCTTTACCGATGCCTCCGGAGCAACAAACCCGTCACCATCATCTCAGTAATCAGTCATCCTTCAGATGTCATGGAACTCCGAATGGTCAAAGAAAACTTTAAAGCAAGACCTGGCCAGGTGAGCCAGTGTTTAGTGCCCTTGCGAGTATCCTTTATGCTTAGGTGATTTTTAAAAATTAGTAGACAGATTTATTGGAATAGTTGTATTTCTGTTTGATCATTTAAAACGTTATCTGTTTGTTGCTTTTTTAGTATATTATTCTACATTGTCCCAGTGTATCAGCATTAGAAAACCACCCATTTACTCTCACAATGGTAAGACATATATTTCTTGAATTTTAAAAATTTTAGATCGCAGAGCATCTTTGTGTGCACATAGGTATATATATTTGTGTATCTGTGTGTCTGTATTTCTGTGTACAGATGTGTCTCTTATACATGGACACATGTCTGAGTATATGTGTATGTGTGTGAATTACATGTGTGTATTTGTGTACATATGGATTTTTCTTCATCCTAAAATTTATTAGATCATAGTTCCTTCATATTTTAAAAAATCTTTTTAAAATGTATTTATTTATTATTCACCTTGTATCCCAACTGTAGCCTCTTCCCTCATCCTCTCCCAAGCCCACCTTCCCTCCCTCTTTTCCACCCATACCCCTCCCCTAGTGCACTGATAGGGAGGTCCTCCTCCCCTTCCCTTTCATCCTAGTCTATAGGTCTCATCAGGACTGGCTACATTGTACTCCTCTGTGGCCTGGTAAGGCTGCTCCCACCTCAGGGAGAGGTGATCAAAGAGCAGGCCACTGAGTTCATGTCAGAGACAGTCCCTGTTCCCCTTACTAAGGAACACTTGGATGCTGAGCTTCCATGAGCTATATCTGTGCAGGGGTTCTAGGTTATCTCCATGAATGGTCCTTGGTGGGAGTAGCAGTATCAGAAAAGACCCCTGGGCCCAGATTTCTTGGTTCTGTTGCTCTCCTTGTGGAACTCCTGTCCCCTCCAGGTCTTTCCATCTCCCTCTTCCTTCATAAGATTCCCTGCACTCTGCTCAAAAATTTGTCTATGAGTCTCAGCCTCTGTTTTGATACCCTCCTGGGTAGAGTCTTTTCAGAGTTCCTCTGTGGTAGGCTCCTGTCCTGTTCCCTGTTTTCTCCCTCTCCCGAGTTTAAGGACAATGTAAAAGGTATGAGATTCTGTGTCAAAAATTATTTTGTGTTATTCCGCATATAAATTATGTATGGATATCAAACATAGGCAGTTTTCATTAGAGGGTTGTATGCTGTGGATGATATGGAAGCATTAAAAATACAGAGAATGGTAAGAGAAGGTGAAACACAATTTAGCTAGTAACTCCATATATGAGGAAAACAAAATTGGAGAAACAAAATTGGATAAATATTAAAGATTTCTAAATAGTATCACAAATTCTGTTTTACCTGCATTAGTATAATCATAAAATATTTAAACCCAATGTGTGTCATAAATCTACGTTATTTACATTATAGGAAATTAGCAAAGATAATAAAATGTATTCATTCCAATGGTTTCATGCATTTTGACCATGTGGCTCTACAGTGCCCTCTCCATCTCAATCCTTATCACTTCTTCTTCACGTCTTGTGTGCCATACAGAGATTTTATGTTCTTTGTAAAAATCTAGGATCCAAAATTGAGATCCAAAATTGCCTCTCCCTGCACCTCAGATGTTTTGCTTAGTTTGCTGGCCTCTGGCTGGTCATCTCTCTGTGTAGTAGAGGTGGGACTCAAGCTTGTGGTTTCACTCTGCTCTCAGGTCACTAGATGTATAGGCTTAAATCAACTTAGGCAATTTAAATTTCACATGATTCAAAAATATTAGACAACATAGAAATATTTCTAATTTTTCATTTCCATATCCTTTTTTTCCCCCATAATTTGATATAGATATTTCTGGATTTTTTGCAATCTACTTCAATTGCCAATGCCTGGCAATTGCATGTTAGATCATATGGTTCTGTCACTAGCTTACTTCAGTCAACACTATACTGTGAACAACCTCAAATTTTAATAGTGTGTTTGTACGCTCCTCCATTGTTTCATTGCCCACACACTATTCCATGGCCAGAAAATACAGTTTGTTTAATATTTCCATTCATGTCTGATGTTTTGTTTTCATTCATGCTTCTGATAAAGACAAGAATAAAGACTACACGTTAAATGTATACAAACAGTAAATTTGAACACAGTAGGGAGACAGAAAGAAAACCTGATAATATCATATGTTTATGTTTGGGGTTTGGGTTTTGGAAGTGACTCTTAAGTTACATGTATTAAATTGAAGATCCGTGACACATGGGTGTATTATTTTACCTTTTGGGACATTTGGCTTTTAATATACTGTTGTGATTAACTCAGTTACAAACAAAAAATATGTGGGGATTTAAAGAGCTGCAAGTACAGCATAAAGAGTAGTCATGGAAATACAGAAAGTATCAGGCCTGTGAATAATACCATTGTGATTTTAGTTTTTATTTGAATTGATTCCTTGAAATCACCTGCGTAGAATACTGTGTAAGGAATTCTATATTTAAAGAATAAAAGAAATAATAAGCATGTGTCAAATTGTTGAAATAAAAATCAGGAACCATATTTCATAATCATCAAAGTTTGTCATCTAGCGAGGTAGCAAGTGATGCTGAGGTCTATCAGAATAGCTAGCAGCACCGGCCCAGCACAGTATGGATTTATAATTTCTTCCTCTGGAGTGATGGTGAGAAGTTCTGAATAATTATTATCTGCCACCGTGTGGGCTTTGACTACTGTGAAAGGGCAAGCATTTGTCGTGAGAAATAGCTACTCACATGAAGTTAAAAACTGGATTCTTAGAGCCCTCAGGACACAATTCTGAGTAGAGAGTAGTTTGCTGTGTCACACCCATTAGTCCTTTCACACCCATTAGTCCTTTGGAGTTTTGCATGTTTTACCCAGTCCCAGAAATGTATCTGATTAACAAATATTTGACTGTAAAATTGCATCTAAATCATGTTCGCTTTTGATTGTTTTAAGACTATTTTCAGTTCTCAGCTTTCATACATCCATAACCTTGAAGCTGTTATCAGAAAAAAAAAAAAAAAAAAAGCAATGTAGAAGTTGAAAAGGGAGAAAATACACAAGTAACTTTAGATGGCTCAGGAGATGAGGCATACTGTCACAGTCATCACAGATTCAGAAATTCTTTGAGAGTTTATTTTTAAATTTGTTTCATCAACATAGCATTAAACAGAGAACATAGGTTTTGAGAAATGAAGGCATTTATTGAATGCCAACTACAAAGATAGGAGTGTTTTTTTCATAAAAATATTTTCCAACATGTTCCAACTGGAGAAAAATAGCATAACATGCCACTAAACATCAAGTGTCTTCAACAAAAACATAGAGCGCACCCCACTCTTTAGAATTTATGCTCTAAGCAAAAACTTTTATGTAACAGGACACGACTTTTACCTTTATATCAAACATCTCACTTCTCCAAGGCATCTTGCTTAAGTCAAAAGGAGAAACACACAAAAAAGCAGAGCTTATAAATCTGAAGGGCTTTTAGCTTGCATATGACCTTGAGTGAGCTGCATTTAAAAATACAACTCAGATCAGCACACTCCTGAGAGAAAGCTCAGCGTCATAAATTCATTATATTGAAACAAAAATGTATTTTTGAAGCTTTTGCTTTTTAACCAACTAGTCTTGTTTCTATACTTTGGGATCTCAAGGCAAGGGGCAGAATCTTCCATCTACACGATAGATTTTCAGATTGTTGCCATATTGTCATACACCCAAATCCCCTTTTTTCAGTTTGAAAATTGCATGCTCTTCTCCTATATTTTATTATAAGCAAATCAAAAACCACAACAAAACACCACTCCGTGCACAACTTTAAAAGTGAATAAGATAATCCAAATTAAAAGCAGGTGTTTTGTCGGTTTTTTTTTTTTTTTTTTTTTTTTTTTTATTTGTTTAAAGTAATAGCATAGCTACAGAGTACTGACCTCAGCATTTTGGGGGAGAAAATTATTTGATGTGGCCTTTGTTATTTGAATAATGTGCTGTATAGGAACACCTGTAGCCTTGACCTGATAGATGCTACTAGTACCTTCTACTATGACTACTAATGAGCCTGGTCTTGTCAAGTGGGAACGTTCTTCGCGGATGAGAACCTCTGTGCCAGATCAGCTGTTCGCTACTGTAGCTAGAATGCTCAAAGACCCCAAGGTGTTTCCCTTGAGAAGACAGAACTTAGACCACAGTAGAGAACCCAGAGGGTGGGAGGGCTTCAGTCTAGGAGTGATTCAGACTAGGAATCCAGTTTCATGTCAGTGTGAGCTGCTCCCTCTCACCTGACTGGCATTTGGAGACAGGGTGCTCATGTGAACATCAAAATTTAAAAATAAGTTTTGCTTACTCAGCCTGAATTCTCTTTAGACTCCCACACGTTCCCAAATATCGTCATGATGTACTGCAGAGTTTTAAAAGGGAATTTGACTGTCTTTCAAATTCAGAATTATATTCTTCATGTTCACTGTCATCAGTTCTCAGGTAATAGTGTTTATTTAGGTCAGAATCAAAGGGAAATTACTAAAATGGCCAAGTAAATGCCCAACAGGTTTCAGAGTTCAGTCTACTTGAAAATTGCATAGTTTTTCTCTGAAATCCCAAGGCATGGGGTAAAATGTGTGTCATTCTTTGAGAAAAGCTCTTTGGGTTAGAAAAAAAACTACTTTGGGAAATATGACATGCTTTTGGACTGTGGGACAACAGTGATAGAACCTTTCCTTAGCTCGGTGAAGCTGCACTATGAATACAGGGCTTCTGAGCTTCATGACAAGAAACTGCGGTCCTGGGTGTTAGAGAGTTCTTGTCTCAAAATGTCATTATTACTCTGTCACCATAAATGGATATAATTGTTAGCTATATCACTCTTCATTGACAGTTCCTTTTAAATCTTAAAGAGGTTCCCTGGTTTCTTGTCATTTAGAGGACCTGCTCTGAGGTCTGATATCCTGATGTGTTTCCTTTTGTTTGTGAGCTATAGGTTTTCTCTTGAAGTTTCCGTGTTTCTTTGCTCTGTATTATTTTTTTTCCCTAAACTGTGTTGAGGGCATTCCTTCTCTTGTCATACCTACTTGGTGTTCTACATGCCTTCTAAGTTTATTTGTTCATCTCTACCCCTAGACCTGGGGACTTTTATTCTATAATTTCGTTGAGCAGATTCTCTATGTCTTTAAATTTAATCTCAACCCTGTGAGTGTTTATGTTTGGTTTCATAATACAGCTCAG